AAATTTCATCATCTCAAGTTGAATTGGAAATTTATATAAACACTGTTAAATAAAGAAAGAAATCTGAATCGCTATAAAGTACGTCTGGTTTATCGGGGTATCCTCAGGTGAAGTGCGATTTCAATAATTGAACGAATTAATTACGCTAAGTAATCACGACATTTAGTAAATCGTACATTGTTTCATTCTCTAAAAATGCGTAACTATACTTGACAAAGAATAATCAGAGAAATATAATATAGAAGGGATATTTAAACATATGAATTACGAATTATGATCTATTATAAATTTTGAAATGTTTTAGGACTAATTATTGGGGAAAAAAATAATTAATAAAGGCGTTAGCAATGCATAGTTATGTGGGTTGTTCGAAAGATGGTAACACAAACTAACTGTAGAGTTACACTAAATTGAAAGAATAATCGTGTTAAGTATCATCAGGAATTGGGTCTAATTCACATTCATTCTGGTGAAGCCATTCAGTTTGTTAATACCATTAGGGCGGAATGACTTCAATCTGTGCATCCAGAAGGAAGATTTATATACGCATTTTCTGTCATGCCCAAGAAGATTAAGAAGATCAATAATTTTGATGTAAATTTTGAATAATTTAATGTAACACGTATATTGTGAAATCATAAATAAAATAATTAAATAATTAGAATTTTTTAAAGACAATGTGTGTGTGAAGTAGGGGGCATATATTAATATATTCTTATCAGCTCGGGAGAACTTTTATTATTTGCCTTTTTCTTTATTCTGATAAAAATCATCCTCGCTCCAAAATTTTGACCGTGAAAATTGAAAAAGCTCTAATATACAGTGTAATTTTTTTTTTTTAGAAAATGTCCGGTAAATATTTATTACGAACTTTTAATGTGTAACTACTATAAATGAAATCTTAATATATCAGATGTACAAAAGGTTACATGTAATTTATAGATGCGATATCATAATTCACGTGTTTAGTAAACATTCAACAGCTGTTCAAACTACGATGTAGCAAAACATAAGGAATAACAAATGTATTTTTAAACTTTGTATATAAAGCATGAATTTAAAAGGTATTCAGTTTAAATTTCTTTCGTCAGTTTCACTTGTACACCATTCGATACACTGAAAATCAATTCAACACTCTTTTCTTCCTCTTCTTTTTTGTTTTCTCGTTATAACTTAAGAAAAATAAAAGCCTTATAACTCGCTGTTAAATTAGTCTGAATTTCTCGGGGTAGAAAAATCAAGGAAATCAATTATTCATGTACATGTAAATCTACGTCGAATAAACAGTTTAATTTTAGAAAATTTATCAATGTTCTCCATAATGTCACTGTTTACATGTACAGTGTACATGTCCACATCGTCGCATAAACAACAATGATTGATCCACAATACCATTATTGTATTGGAATATACAAGGGGCGGGGCTTACTGGCGGTGAGATTAAAGCGGGGTCCGCTTCACGCATCAGTGCATAAAGCGGTCCCAGGAAGCGAACACCGGGTTCGCTCTAGCGGACCCAGAGCTGACCCCGAGCGAACGCGGAGCGCACCCAAAGCGCACCCGGAGCGGTCCCAAATTTTCTGAAAGCGAACCCGAAGCGGACCCCGAGCGAACCCGTGAAGCGAACCCGGGGTCCGCTCCGGGTTCGCTCTGGTGTTAGGTTGTGTCCGGTCGGTACTGTAATTTACAAAAACATGTAAAAGATTATTTTCAAATTACGGATCGAGTGCATTGAAATAGAAGTAGAAACAAACCAAAATCATATGAGGCAATAGACCATGTACATGTAGTATGTTAGTTAACTGAGGCCGAAGGCTATTCAAAAGTCAGCCAATTAATTCATTGTTATTAAATGTTATTGAATTTCCAAATGTTTGACACGTTTGATTTCTTGTCTCCAACAAATGTACCCGGTGTCCGTCGTCCGTCCGTCTGTCTGTCCGTCCGTCCGTCCGTCTGTAACACTCATGATTTAAAGCATAGTGTAATAACACATTATGATTTGCATGATTAGTGTTGGCAAATCGGATGATTTTTATTAAGTGGTTACTTGTTTCATCTTCCAATCGAGTACCCGGTTACTCAGATGATTTTTGGTAAAAGCATCAATATCTATTATTTATCTTTTTCTATTCTTATGGGTATAGTAATCTGCAAATATACTGTATATGGACATTATTTTTACAATACACACATACGATATCATCAAAGATTTACTGTTTTAAAATAAAGAAAATAAGGAAGTCGACACACCGAGAAGACAAATAAATATATCATTGTCAATCACCATTTTACACTTTCCTTTTCAGCCCCCCAAATATGTCGCAATCAAGGAGAATAATTATTTACATACTCCATAATTAATAGTCAGTATGTGGAGTTTCCAGTAAATCGCTGGTTTCCGAATATTTAAAGATTAGGTGATTTAACAGATTTTGAATCAGCTGTTCTTCTGGTAAACTTCAAGCTTATTATGTCTGCGACGGCATCTCGTTAAATTATCAAATGAGGTAATTATAGCTCAGGTCTTCAAAAGATATATACCCGAAGCAATCAAAGCTATCAATTATATAAACTGTTAAAACTAATCAAAACAGTTTGATCCACTACAACCATGCACTAGATCAAGTCTAATGATATCTAAAATTAGAGAAATGTGTAAGTTAGTATACCGGTACATTTATAAATTATTAAACATTTATTTCTATGCCTTTACTATGGAGAATTCATTTTATCCGAGTAACTGAATAGCAGTTTTACTAACCGATACTCACATCGTTCGACAGTTAACCAGGTACTGGTTGCCAACACTAATTATGATTGTAATTTATCAGCTTTATCAAATGTTTAAAAGTGGAAAAAATATTATTAAACAATAGATACTCAACTATTTACTAAGAAAGTAGTTTAGTGCATTGGTATCTAGCATGGTAACATTTACAATGACACATGTTTTAAAACGCCCAATTTGATTGGTCAAAAAATGTTAGCAAATATATGGTTGGTCAACGTGGTCAAGAGGGAAAACCCCAAAACCTCCTGGAACTTTAATTTGAAGTGAACTCACTCTGAGGTACACCCAAGAATGCCCAAGGAAAAGGTGTCTAGTCCAACCAGAGAGCCCCTTAATCCCTGATCATTTAATTTCTATGCTTATTGTATAGAAATGGGAACTCAATAGTATTACAAACTTTTACTTTGAGAATAATACAGTGGACCCTCATGTATCCGGACGCTTTGGTTCCCAGTCAATATGTCCGGATATGTGAAGCATCTGGATATCTGAATCACCACTTAAATAAGACAAAATAACATTTAAAAATTTCGTTCCTTTGAAAGATTGTCCGGATACTGAAGCATCCGGATATCTGGCGTCCGGATATCTGAGGGTCCACTGTATTGATAAATTTCTGTATAAAAATGCTTTTACAACATGTATTAAAGATTTGTTCCTACTTAAAAAAAAAATTCCTATACATTCTGAATTAAATTTATGATTTTTTTTGTTAGAATGTTCAAGGCAACCAGAAGCTTGAGTCCATCCTGAACATAGAGACAACACAGATATTAGCAAAGCTGGATAATATTGCTAGAGGATTAGTTAATGCAACTCAGCAAGGACTAGTGATGGATATGTTCCAGGTTCCACAGCTAGGAGAATGTCAGGAAGAAAAGCCTCATCATTAAAAGTGTTACAGGTGAATTATTTAGGAATTTAAGAAATAAATAGGATAGATAAAGATATACTAGGGAATTAATATTTTGTTGGTTCATGATCACATCTATTGAGAAGCCAAAGGCCAAAGTATTGCATGCAGTAAATATTGTTTGGATGTAATCACACTTATATCATTGTATACAAATAACCTTTATCCGTATTGATAAATATTTTGAATTTATGTCAGATAATATAAATCTAAATTCATTCCTGTGTCAAATTATATTTTCGTTTCCAATGTCTTTGTTCAAGAGACAATTACAAATAGTCAAATGAATGCACTTTATTTCTCCATTAATATACTTGTTCATTGCTAAAAAAAAATCACGTGCAGGGCGGAACAAATATAGACACAAGAAGCAGAGCTTGTAGCACGTTTATTGGCGGAATCAATTCTATGTAATATAAAGAATAACTGTCATTTTCAATTTCATGACAATGATCAATCGATTGGCTTGCATAATAACTTTATGCATAAATGCCTTCTGCGTTTATGCAAATTATCACGCCAACCAATTGATTCTTTTCAAGAACCACAGGGCCAGGAAAGATGAAACTCATGTGAAATCATCCTCAGGTAGTGTCGATTCAAGTTTGTTTAAATCATGACCCTGGGGGTAGGGTGGGGCCAAAATGGCTGATCAAAGTTTTACAAAGGACTAGATAGGGATATCTTTTAAAATTGTCTTCTCAAGTACTTCAAAGCCATTATTAGTGATATTTATGTTGAAACATCCTCAGGTAGTGTAGAATTAAATTTGTTCAAACCATTATAACGCCTAATGGGTAGGGTGGGGCCACAATGGTGAATCAAAGTTTACATAGAAAAATAAAGGGAGAAATCCCAAGAACAGAAAAGCTATGTTTAGTCATATTGACATGTAAGCATCCTCAGGTATTTAGGATTTAAATTTATTCAAATTATGGCCCTTTGGGGCAAGAAGGGAAACAATGGGGAATCAAATTCAAGTATTATGAAGTTATATATAGTAATAAAATGTTTTTAAAAATCTTTTTATCAAGAACAGTAAAGTCATATGCTGTGTTTATATGAAGGCATTGTAAAGTAGGATTAATTCAAGCCCCCCCCCCCCTTTTCAGTAAACTTTTCCTGATCTGATTTGTGCTTTTTCCTAGCTGATTTTCTCAGTTGAGCAATGTGGCCCCTGGACCTCTTGTTTGAAATTACTGGGATCAAGGCTGTTGATTATTGCTCAAAAGTTTATCATATACATACACATTTTATTCTGGTTGAAATGTTTGTAATTTTACAATTAAGTTCCAATTTTTTCAGGCACTAAAGGAAAATGATGGCATTGTTTTTGTGTGGGTGATGAGAATAAGAGTGAGGAGGAGATAGATGATAGTCAAGACAATCAGGATGTCCACACCGTCACTCCAGGTACTGTATACACACTGCATTACCCATTTTAAGCAACAAGTTTCTTAACTTGAAATTATATGCAGAAACCCAGCATGGCCAGCCAGTCTACATGCATGGAAAATTTTCTTAAGACTTGATATTGAGTATTACTAGTAGAGCTTTAGTCTAAAATGCAAACAGGTTGTTCTATTCAAGGATAGGCCAGAGTATAGTTCAGACACAAGTTATTTGCATTAATTGAACTATACCAATTTCAGAGTCATAACATTTCACAAATATGTCTTCTGAATTGAGATGGAGGAGTTAGCTGAGATTAAATTCCTAATCAACAAAATATTTTACTGGATGTGAATTTTTATAGCAAAGCTTTCAAGTACACAGACCATTCAAATAAAGAAAGTACCTATGTATCACAAATATACTAGTAAACAATCATTCTCCTGCCAGATTATATTTTAGTTGAAAAAAATTGCTTTAACTCTTAAAGCTATTCTTAGTATTATTATTTTTTTTGTACAGACCGAACCACCAACCAAGGAAAATAATATTTTGTAAATATCATTTTAGGGAAGAAGAAGTCATTTCTGATCCTAGATCTACTGTGGAAGATTCTACATGCAAGTGACAAGAGATACAAAAAAAAATCCAAAGGACATCATGAGAAATGAATTTAATCAACAGACATTGTGGAAAAGATTTTCTAAAAAATAGTAATAGGACCTTAAGAAGTGTAAAACACCAAGGATATACATTTGTAATCTTGTTAAAAACAGAGAAAATCTTGATTAACATTCTACTTTCAATTTATATACTTTGAGAAATATGAAAAAAACTGTTTTAGAGCCACAGTAATGGAGGACATTGAATTCTTTGCAGCAGTTTTATCATTAGGCCATTCCATTTTTTTTCTGTGTTTAGTGACTGCAGATGGATTGGTTTTGAGATCATGCAAATTAAGAACAAACACAAAATAAAATTGACAAATACAAATCTTTGACAAGCAATTTACTCTTCTGGGATCAGCATCTCTCTTTTTTTAAAAGTGATGTGCCTAAGTTTTTTTTTTTGTTTCATTAAACTAGTAGTAGTAGTTTAATTTAGTTATAATACGAGGAAAATTCTTAAATGATGCTAAAGGAGTTCTAGAACTTTGCGTAAAATGTTGTTTTTTCCCCTTTTGGTTTGTGATTTTTCTTTTGGAACGAAGAAATGTTTGAAATTAAGGTTGGATGGGAAACAAAGAAAAAAACTTGGAATGGCCTCATATAACCTACATGGACTAAACTTGCATAGATGAAGAGTGCTAACTGCTTAAGAAGCTGTGCATGATGTATGTAGGAAATGATTTTGAAGTATTAAATATTCTATGCAAAAGGAAATTTTCTCAAATTAGTTAATTTTTGCAAAAAAAAAAATGATTAAGCATCACATACATAACCTTTCTGAAAGTGAAAAAATATTCATCCTAATTAAGTTTGATCAAGTCTTCAGTTCAAGTTATATGCAAAAATACATATTTCATTCTTTATAAACACTATGATATCCCTGTACTTTTCTTATGTGAATTGAATGTAAAGAGTTGGGTTTGATGCATAAATAGTCCTGTTCTTATACTAGTTCTTTGAAAATCACCCCCTGTCCCATTTCTAACATCAAAATAAAGTATGGAGATTTCTCATTTCCTTTAACAAAGATTTTTCATAGAGTCCTGAGATTGGAAGTTAAACAAGATTGCAAAGTTCTTGAAATATTAAAAATGCAAAAAAAGGAATTTTCAGGATATGAGAGAATTCAAATGGGACCTTGAGACTTGGTCAGTTAATTGGTATATATATTGAGGGCCATTTTATGGATAAAGTGAACCTAGCTCTTTTCACCATTTACACTGTCACCAAGTATCAAAATGATAGACTGATGCATTGGTTACCAAAACTGAGTACTTTTGATTTTTCACAATTCACAGGGCCAAAAAAGCTTTCAGTGAACCTTGCTCTTTATTACATTTATGTCTGTAAACTTTTACCATATGCAAACATCCTTTGTCTCTAGAAATGCCTTTATCTTCTGTAAGTCCCCAAACTTTTAACATGTGTATAAGGTCCTCAGTCTCTATAAATACCTGTATCATGTGTAAGTCCCTAAACTTTTAACATGTGTATAAGGTCCTCAGTCTCTATAAATACATGTATCATGTGTAAGTCCCTAAACTTTTAATATGTGTATGAGGTCTTCAGTCTCTATAAATACCTGTATCATGTGTAAGTCCCCAATTTTTTAACATGTGTATGAGGTCCTCAGTCTCTATAAATACCTGTATCATGTGTAAGTCCCCAATTTTTTAACATGTGTATGAGGTCCTCAGTCTCTATAAATACCTGTATCATGTGTAAGTCCCCAAACTTTTAACATGTGTATGAGGTCCTCAGTCTCTATAAATACCTGTATCATGTGTAAGTCCCCAAACTTTTAACATGTGTATGAGGTCCTCAGTCTCTATAAATACCTGTATCATGTGTAAGTCCCCAAACTTTTAACATGTGTATGAGGTCCTCAGTCTCTATAAATACCTGTATCATGTGTAAGTCCCCAAACTTTTAACATGTGTATAAGGTCCTCAGTCTCTATAAATACCTTTATAATGTGTAAGTCCCCAAACTTTTAACATGTGTATGAGGTCCTCAGTCTCTATAAATACCTGTATCATGTGTAAGTCCCCAAACTTTTAACATGTGTATGAGGTCCTCAGTCTCTATAAATACCTGTATCATGTGTAAGTCCCCAAACTTTTAACATGTGTATGAGGTCCTCAGTCTCTATAAATACCTGTATCATGTGTAAGTCCCCAAACTTTTAACATGTGTATGAGGTCCTCAGTCTCTATAAATACCTGTATCATGTGTAAGTCCCCAAACTTTTAACATGTGTATGAGGTCCTCAGTCTCTATAATACCTGTATCATGTGTAAGTACTTTTAACATGTATGTCCTCAGTCTCTATAAATACCTGTAATGTGTAAGTCCCCAAACTTTTATCATGTGTATGAGGTCCTCAGTCTCTATAAATACCTGTATCATGTGTAAGTCCCCAAACTTTTAACATGTGTATGAGGTCCTCAGTCTCTATAAATACCTGTATCATGTGTAAGTCCCCAAACTTTTAACATGTGTATGAGGTCCTCAGTCTCTATAAATACCTGTATCATGTGTAAGTCCCCAAACTTTTAACATGTGTATGAGGTCCTCAGTCTCTATAAATACCTGTATCATGTGTAAGTCCCCAAACTTTTAACATGTGTATGAGGTCCTCAGTCTCTATAAATACCTGTATCATGTGTAAGTCCCCAAACTTTTAACATGTGTATGAGGTCCTCAGTTTCTATTAATACCTGTATCATGTGTAAGTCCCCAAACTTTTAACATGTGTATAAGGTCCTCAGTTTCTTTAAATGTTCTTATCTTATGTAAGTCCCCAAACATTAGGTATGTGTATAAGGTCTCAGTTTCTATAAATATATGTATAAAGTCTTCAGTTTCTTTTATTAGCTTTACCATGTATAAGTCCCTAAAACTTTTATCGTGTGTATGAGATCCTCAATTTCTTTTTATATCTTGATTTTGCGAAGTACCTTAAGTTTTACCATGTGTGTAAGGTCCTCAGTTTCTTAATTTTCAAACTGTGCAAGTCCAAAAATTTTAACGTTAACCGTATGTACAAGGTCTTCTAAAAAACTCTTTTCTTGTTTGTTGGTACATGTTGTTTAATGTCACTGCAAATTTTGTCCTATATTTGGCAAGTACGGACATGGAGAAGTGAGGGATCTTTTTCGTGCAAACACCTGCTGCGACATGGGACCTCGGTTTAAACAGTCTCACCCGAAGGATCGGTATCCACATCCCACAGTTGTATTCGAACCTGTGACTTAAGGATCAATTAACCCCAATTAATTGCAAATCTAGAGCAGACGCTCTAACCACTGCGCCATGCGGGCGAGACACCTTTGTCTTGTGTAAGTCCTAGCTTAAATTATACCATAATGAATATAATCCTTTTAAATAATGAAAACATAATGTAATGCGACATTAGTTAATAAAAGTGTCCTTTTATAACATGCATACATGTATTTCTTATCAAATAAGTTCAAGAGCTCTTGTATTTTAAAGGCTGATACAGAGCAGTATCGGTAACAGCTACAGTAACTTTATTTCCGACGCTCAATAATAAACAGGCACACTCAATAATAAACAGGCACATATCATAGGGTTGGGGGGTTGGCCACCCCCCTTTTTTCCACACATTTTTTTAACTATATAAATTGTTTATTGAAAGCCCCCCTCCACCACACACTTTTGGAATAGGATTATATATTCAGACAATTTTCTTTTCTTCTGTTTTTTTTATCAAGTTTTATCGGGGAAGTTGAATTTTAAAAAATTATTTCTGGGGCTGAACTCCCCTTTTTTCAACATAGATCCCCCCTTCCCTTTCTGCTTGTCAAGGAATATTGCCCCCTCCGTGAAAATATTTGTGCAGCCCCCATCCCCCCCCCCCCGCCCCCAAACGAACACACACTAAAATTGCTTCCTACCAGTCAGATTGTGGTTCTCATAATGGCTTAGCAAAGTAAAAAAAGGGAAATTTTAGCTCACCTTTACGATGAGAGCTTGTATATCGTCGGCGTCATACAGGTTAAAGATTAAGGGTCCATAATTTAATATTTTTTTCATTTTAATATTTATTTAATAATTATAGCAACGTTAACGAGAAATTTTAAAAGCTACATACATGTATTTGTTTACAGTTTTACTATTTCAGCACGATACTTTGAGAGAGGACTTGTAATACTTTGTGTATTATTTTAAAAGACATCATCGGGAATAATTGTCCTTTTTGTCCATGTGTCACTAAAATCACAAACACAAAAAAGGTCTGAAATGCTCTAAGTATTTTTTGTTTTTCGCTTAAACTCACAATATTTATCGTGAGATTTTGGGCTATAATATTCTAATTTTAAATTTTGCTCCAGATTGCAAAACGTAATAAATTACTTTTCTGTATAATCTATCTAAAAATGGATAAGGATACAATGTTTATAAGGATATAAAGTTTATAAGGATAAGGATATAAGGTTTATAAGGATAAGGTTTATAATTAAAGAGTTATGTTATATGAATAAAATATATATTGTATTATGTAGGTCTGGCCACAATCGCCAAATCAAAAATAAATGATTTTAAGAAGTTATATTTGTCTTCATCGTCTTTAATAATTAATTACTTTTCTGTATAATCTATCTGAAAATGTGCAAATTTGAGCAGGCGATTTTAATTCAGAATAAAACTTGGATTGAGGATAGCAGTAGGTTATTGCTTTAATGCTAGAACGATCTTGTACCGCCTAGTGTGCATATTACCAAAAATAATATTGCTTATATTTTTGGTGAAGTGAATAGGTTAATTAATATACGAGAAATAATTATCAAAATCTTTTGGTTATTTTAAAGTTAAATCCATATTCAAAATGAATACGTCATCGAACAGGTTCGATGATTTGGTACATAATGGAAACCATTTTTACATTCTCTCTTTAATTTTGTTTAAAACGTACGATTTTTAGCCGGGCTTATTGCTTAAAGAGCAATTGCCGGCTTATGTGATCCTGTTCAAGGCAGGATGTTGACCCCGTAGTCGTCATTTTAAAGTTACGTGCAAAGATATAGTTCTTAATCTCAACCGCTTTTGAGATAATACAAACGCTAAAAAAAAGCAACAAAAATAAAACGAAGTTTTATCTATAATATAAAATAAACATTAGTAGTAATGACTTTGAAAACTTCAGAAGTCAAAGAACATGTTCATTAGCGTGAGGATTTTTGATAATAAATGTTACCGTAGTTCTCTACACATACGAGGTAAAGCAGGAGAGGGAACCAGAGAGGGAACCAGACTGGCCTGATTGATTACAATCATTCAGCCGCGGTACCAGATTAATTCTGATTCTGACAAAATCGGACCCTGGTATTAGGATTGAAAACTCACTGTCAGTGTCTTGTCATTTATACTGATGGTTTAAAATTTTTTTTTTCATCAGAATATAAACGTGATTCATGTAAGAAATTCATTCTACTCTGTAAATGAGCCCGGCTTTCTGTACTTCTGAGTGCTTTGATTAAGTTTCACTGTCGAAATTTCAAAGAATGATCAGAATATTTCTTTTTTTTTTAAATCAAATTTATTTATCAAGCAATCATGAATAGTTTTCAGTGTCAAACACGGATAATTTTAAGTTATTTAAGTCATTTTTGGTGCCAAAATAAAGTAAATACTGATTCTCAAGAGTTTCTCCAGGAACCTCGACCGATATATCCTAGCTCGCCACTTTT